CAAAAATTGAACACTACCAAAATATTTTGAAGTATTTATTTTAATATGATGAACCCCCCTCCCCTGTATTAAATTTCTGTTTACGGGACAGACGGACTACAATGTGCCAAAAAAATGAAATAACTTAGCAGGGAACATAAAAGTGTGATTATTAACATTGATAAAAAAAATATTAGGCAAACTCACTAACAAAAATTGATTCATAGAGTTAAAATTATAACTTAATTTTAGGTAATTTGAATTTTAGTAAATAACTGCTAATTTTGTAGACATATTTATGCATGTTATATAAATTGTAAATATATAGCAAAATATATAATACAACACTGATAAGATAATATGTTATGAAGTGTGTCGTGTGTGTGTCAGGGGCTTAGGGCCATTGCTCCTCGCGGGTCTGAGACGCTACTGATTAAAACCGAATAAAGCCGAACATATTATAAAATGCAATGCCAGGTGCACATTATTGTATATTTGTATAGATATATTGCAGTCTCCTGGTACGTCTCGAATTAAACGGGTTCGTAGGTATACAATAATAAATAACTATAACTTGTAGGATTTTTCACTGATTTCAATCGAAACCCAATGAAAGTTTTTTCCAAGTAGCCATTTGATTGTCCCTTATTAATTTTTGGTATGTATATTTTTAAAGAGAATAGACTAACATAATATCGAGTCTCTAAAAAAGTACATATTTTGCACTGATAAACTAAACAATTTTAAGTCAAAATTGAATTGCTCATGAAGATAATGATACACACTCCGATTTGCGTTAATGACACTACTTAAGTGTCTACGACTTACAGATGATTTTTAATGAAATTATAGATTGACGAGATACATCATTGATTTTTCGGACATGCTAGAAAAATGTACGCAGACTGATGAGCACGTGCATATTTATTATATATTTACTGTTATCAATATAATATTATGTCTTATTTACAAGGGATTTTGCAATATAATATGCCAATCATTTCTGTACCTAAATCGAAATTGGTCATTTAATATATTATTTTTTGTGACAGACATTTTAACTGCGATTTAGCTAGCAATCATCATTAAAGAGGACTATCCTTTTTATGATGTACTGGCTCTAACCAAAAACCTCATCCCCGAGACATAATGAATGTGACGTCATCAATATAATATATAATTAATATTAAACGCAAATAACCTTGAATTTTATAAATAATATGTATTAAATAAAAATATTTAGGAAAACAATAAATTGTAAAATCTCAATGAGTTTGCGCGTTTCGAATAAAACATAGGTGCTATAAAATTCAGATGAAAACTGAACATATAAATCGTGTAAATATTCTTCGAATTATGTAAGTATACAGTTTCATATTATGCAATAATTGATTGTGTGAATAATTAAACTAATGTATAATAATAGTAACAATAGTACAGAGGTGTATTAACGGGGGTGGGGGGGGGATAGATCCCATATATGATATAAGTAATAGTAGTAACATAATAGTATTATACAATGGATACAGATTATATAATACTAAGGAGACTCGTGAAATTAACTTGACGCCTTGCGCCTTGACGTCTTGCGCCGTCGTCACTAAACCACCCCATTTCCACACCAAACACGAAAAATCAATACCGTGTCATCTATATTTTAGCCAGGGTATCAGAGCCTGTATTTTATACACATAAAAAACCGGGATGTGGTGAACCTGCGCTCTCGAGACTCTGTTGTATTCTGGTGTTTATGGGTCGAATCAAGCCACTCTCGATTTCGCGTTGTCACAATGACACATACTGTGTTGACAACGTAAGGCTTTTAATTTTTTTTTTTTTATTGTTCTATTCTCACTTAATTTTCTTTTAGGTTTTTACAAGTCCTAGACGTGTGCCATTTGAGATTAATGGAACTCTAATAAAAACGATCGACAACTCAAGCGCCTGCGATATACGAAGGTATGGTACGAGTATCGCAGTTTAATAAATTTACCAGAACATTTTTTATTTGAATATTATTATTTATTACTCTTTATTGAAAAGTGAGTGAATTTATATATTTAAGTTAATTTTAAATTATTATATTTATGTATGATATATTATTTAATATACTGAGCATGTTCACCCCCATTTATTGAATTTTGAAATTAATCTAAGGACATTTTTTTCAAATATGCACCCACTTAGATTTTGTATACCGTGTGTACTGTGTATACTATATACCAAGTATACTGTAACGATACACACTTCTTTATTGATATATAATAGTTCTTAATAATTATTTTATGAACATTTTAAATATATACAACATTTCTTCTAGTATTCTGGTACTTATTATCCTCAAATAATGTTTACAAGTTATAAAATGTTAATATATAAATATTAATCATAGTAATATTACTATAATAATTTTTTTTTATCAACTTACTTATATACTTTTATTAAATAACATATTCTTGAAATCATGTTATAAGACATAGTATTTTGCAAAAGTTTACATAAATAAATTTCAAGAATCAAACCAATAATTCTTATTTATAATAATATTAAATGGGTGGAGTACTCCTCCCAGTTACGACCTACTAACCCACATCATTCCATGGGGTGTCCCATGATATACTAGCACTTCACTACAATCATCGGAAGTTCAAACTCCAATAGATTTAATATTAAAATTTCCTATTTTACAAAAAATATCAGAATAAAAGTAATTAAAAGTAATAAAAAATCAATTTATGTATTAGTTTTTAAGAAATCAAGACCTAAAAAAATGATTTAAAAAAAATTATAACAACTAGATTTATAGCTACTTACTGAAACGTAAATATACATTTTATTTTTTATTATTCAGACACAAAATAATATACATATTGTTTTAAAATAAATTAATATTTCCAACCCTTCATGCATAAACTTGATTATAGAATAATTAGAGTCTATAGAATAATTTGGTGTGTTTATTAAATTGTTTAAATGTATTATTATGTATTAATAGTAAATTTGATTCCTTATAACATTATAATTTATAACTGTATGGATACTATTGTAAAACGTTGTAACATGCCAACTTAATATGTAGGTATTGTACTGTTTTTCTTTTTTGAAGGTATTTTACTAATGTCTATTGGTGAGTTAACTATTTAGTATTTATATAGAAATAAGTAGGTAGTATAAGATTATAACAATAAATTACATTGTAATCAGAATAAATTAATTTTAACCAATATTAGACTTCTTACTTAATACTTATTAGCATACAGTAGGTAGGTATGGCAAACCTACATAACAAACTCGCTTTAATATTATATTGTATAGTTGTCTCATAAACGATAAACATAGATCATATTATAAGTTAATTATTATTTATTAATCATAACAGATTGGATCAAAGATAAATGTATAGATAATGCTAAAGGTACGTATTTTATAATTAAAACAACGTACCTATCTTAATATAATAAAAATGATAAATTGTTAACAAACATTTTTTAACTTGCCCATTGTTATTTTTATTTTGTTGAATTCAACAGGGGTCGATCCAGCTCGTGATATTGGGGGGGCTATTTAAGGGGGTTTAGGGGCTTAGTCACACAAAAGTATGGCACTTTTATGATAACAACTTGTTCATCACTCATTTAGTACAGTGTTAGGTGCCCCGAATTATCGTTAATAGTATTTTCTTTAGGCGTATTCACGTATACAACAATTTTTCTTGTGAACGGATGGGCGATCACCCCAACACTCCCTCTGGATCCACCACTGTAATTTTAAAAACGAAGAACCGTAGATATATGAATAACGAATATACTTATCAATATAATATTAGGATTTTATAAATGGGATATTATTTTCAAGATATTTTGAATCTTGCTGTGCTATTTATAGACATTCAACATTTTTGATTTTTTTTTTCTAAATATTATAAACAAAAAGCTTAAAAATGCAATACCGTGTTCCTCGTTAGTTATTAATACTGCAATAAAAAAACAAATTTAAAATTTAAAATACAAACATTTTTGATGAAGGTTTAAAGTTAGAATTTTGACAAAATTTACGAACATATTCAAATTATTTTGTAGGCTCAAAACTATTTAAATACAAATTGAATACAAGGTCTCACAAAATTTATGAAAATTTATAAAATGTTCAATTTTAATAGCTATTTGGTTATCAATTTATACAAAGTTTCTCATATTAAGTACTTCTTACTGAAACCCGAAAACATAATAATATAAAAGCACAATTTTTTAATAAAGAATAACGATTTTATTTATATACCTAATCTTATAATCATATTTTTAAAATATTTAGATTCATTTTAAGATATTGCATTTTATACACTGTATAATAATACAGTATAACGTATGACTAATCATAAAATAAATCAATATAATATAAATACAAATAATACTTAATTTTATTTTAGTTTTTATTTTTATTTTATTTATATACTCCAACCGTCTTTTACAAAAGAGTGAAAAGATAAATATAATATGATAACAATAATATATGGTATAACTAGTAATAATATAAACGTAAAAGTGTATAACGAGGTTCAAACTTAAAGATTAAACTCAATTGACACACCTAAGCATTCTGTGCATGGGGTGGTTGTGGTTAAAGGAAGTGGAATATGTGGGAATATAAAAAGGAATATGATTAGGAATATTTTGAGAGGGAACTTTAAATAAAACTTGAGATAAAAGGTCAGGTGCATCTATATAATTGTTGAGAAGCGTATATATAAGTATATAATAAAATATACTTAAAAATATAGGCTTACAAACCACGCCGTCTCTCCTCAGAATGTTTGTCGCAATTATTTATCATGAATTCTAATTTAACACGTCCATTACATTGACCTACTTAATGACGAGGTACCCTTGACACCTACTGTACAGCAGAGTATTACCTATACTTTCCAGCTTTTTTATTGAACTATTGAAAATAGTTCGCTTATACTATGAAATTGTAAATTTTACATTACATGTTTAGGTGGAGTTAAATAAGACAGTGATAAAATGAATGAACCTAGTCAAGATCCATTAGATCATGAGAAAATGAATGAACCTAGTCAAGAACCATTGGACCCTGACAAAATGAATGAACCTAATCAAGAATCATTGAACCCTGAAAAAATGAATGGATCTAATCAAGAACCATTATGCCATGAGAAAATGAATGAACCTAATCAAGAACCGTTGGACCATGATACAAAGAATGAACCTATTCAAGAACCATTATGCCATGAGAAAATGAATGAACCTAATCAAGAACCGTTGGACCATGATACAAAGAATGAACCTAATCAAGAACCGTTGGACGATGATACAAAGAATGAACCTAATCAAGAACGGTTGAACCCTGAAAAAATGAATGAACCTAATCAAGAATCATTGAACCCTGAAAAAATGAATGGATCTAATCAAGAACCATTATGCCATGAGAAAATGAATGAACCTAATCAAGAACCATTGGACCATGATAAAAGTGCTGATCAACTTGAAAGGTAATATTTAAGTAATAAAAAGTTCCGAGAATCACCCATACCGATATTTTAGTTCCTTTTGAAACAAAATCTGCTTTTTACCTAAAAATAAACTATTTCATGATTAAATATTATGTGCTTTTCATGCACCTTTATTTATGTTACTTTTATACAACATGTTATAAATGTTAAAATATCAAAACATCAAAACCTAGAGTTGTTATATGGTTATACCTTCTACAAATGATCTTCAAAAGACTAGGTTACCACTAATAAAAAAAATACGCTTCTACCATATTACTATATTCCATCATAGGTACAGTTAAATTTTCCTCCAAAAATGGTCTTGTAAGTCTTAGATGCTAAGCCTGAGATGTTTAGCTTGATATATTTTTATCTTATAAGTACACTCGCAAGCAGCATTATTATAACATTAATATACAATAACTAATAACGTTACAAATTAAAATAAAATGTTTATGTGATGAATAGGTAATATAAACATATTATGTTTACACAAAATAATAAATAAATATAAATGTATGTACTTATGTGCTGTTTTAGGAGTCCAAATTTCGTTAAAAAAATCACAAATACTGTAAGAAACGTAGTCAATTATTTACAGTATAATGGAAGTCGGGCGTAAGTTACTACAATTACGTCATGTCAAACTATGATTATAATTAAAAGGTTTAAATGTATAGATTTTTTTTTTTTTTTGTCGTAATTATTAGCTTTATCAGGGGCAGACCCGGAAATGGACCGGAGATTAATGCTGATGCTAATACTGGTACGGGTCATTGTCAACATGCAACTGATGGTTCAAATGTAGACAATAATGAAAAGGATGTATTGACTACAATACATATTACTCAAAAACAGATTGGTAAAATATGTTTATGCCATAACAAATATTGTATTTATAATATATGTATAATAATTTGTAACTAAACATTGTTGACAAAATATATTCTGCCCAATGATTGAGTGTTCAATAAAGTATTGAATTACATCATCTGGTTCAAATAATAGCTGTCAAACATTTAATTAGAGTTTTCATGATTAGAGTATACAGTATACACTATCGTATAATTTTTAAAAATGTTAACAAATATTCAACAATTAACATTTAAATATTTCAATGTTATTATAATTATATAATTATGCTGAAGCCTGAAATATACATAATACATACATAATCATTACTCATATATAGTCATAACTCAAAAGTATATAGCACAGTAGGGTAACTAAGGGGGAGGGGTGATATAAAGATTTTAATCCAGAAATTCAGTATACACATATTATATTCATATCATTAAAATCCTACATGATGTATACTGTACACAATTTGGCGGCTTGTGGGGGGGGGGGGGTGGTGGTACATTTCGTATCATTATAATCATCATGTATAATCGATTATTACAAAGTTTATTACAGCTTGAAGTTGCTTTATAGATTACCAGGTTAAATACTCTAAAAGTAGACTTAATGAGTCTAACTCTATAAATTGGGTTTTTTTTTTTTAATAATGTAAAATATGGAGATGAACCCTCTACGAATCTGTGAATAGTCTTATGTAAAACCCTAACCGAACTAAAATCCTGCATACGCTACTATGTTAAGTCATTATTTTAGATTATTAGCAAAGTAATGCTATTTAAAAAAAATCGCAGAACCATTTTAAAACAAGACTCACCCGAACTTATAGAATTTTAAATGATTTGTCATCCCATAGAAAATTAAAACTATAAAAAAAACTATTTTATAAACGTTATTGACTACATTTTATTTTTAGATAAGCGACTCCAATGTACCGTTTGCTTGGACGAATATAAACTTGGTGAGGAAGCGATAAAATTGATTTGTAGCCATATATTTCATGAGAGATGCATCATTCATTGGATTATTATGGTAGGTAATTGTTTTTTTATTCATTAGTTATTGTTCATTATTGTGAATAATATGGAAAAAAAAACGGTTTTTGTTTGCAAGATATTACATTAGTACATAGTAAGTAGGTATAGGTACTTAATAATTTAATATATTGATAATATGTATTAAATTAATACAATACTTATTCTCTCGAGTTAAGTAAACAATAATTTACCTTTCATTTCAATTATAAATAACTAATAGATTATAAGTAAGTACAAAGTACCTATACACAACTATTTAGGAACAATAAATTACATTTTTTAATTATTCTTATTTCTAAAAATGTAAATGAGTCCATACTAATTTTCTTTAGTTTTCTTTTTTGACGTTTTCAAATAAAATTATATTTAATACATAATGATATTAATTTGCAGTTTTACATTTTTCTGCCAGAGAAATTTCTAACCTTGGTTACAAACATGTAAGAACGTATTGGCTCAGAACAGGTTTTCACAGTATAGGTACAATGATTTATTATTGAATTCATATGTAACACAGTCATTACAGAGCCTTCTCGATGACAAGGTACACTCGACACTGAAGTGTTATAGATCATTGCTTAGTAAAATTAAACGAACACAACACGATTAATTAGAATGGTCAATGCTTTATTAATAACAAAACAGTCTAACTGATGAGGAACAAAAGACATTAACAATTAACATTTAAGAATTAACAATTTATAACAGTTTATCAAGACAGACGTACAAGCCCGGATTAAGGATCAATTGGGCCCCGGGACACCATACACTTAGTGGGCCCCCTTTCAATTTTAACTTCAAAATAATTGCATAATAATATGTAATAATCATTACATATTAACAACTTTATATTATTGTATAATTGTTTACTATAAAAAAATATTATAAGGTGTATCTTATGTCGTTGTAAGCGAGTTTTTTTCGACAATTATGGATCGATGATATAGAATTTCGTTAAAATAAAAATAAAAAAAGTGGGCAAGTGGGTGTCGCTCTGCTGTACAGTAGGTTACAAGTGGGTCACTGTATAATGGATGATATTAAATTTGAATTCAACGATATAATATCATTGTATAAGAAAAACGATTCTGAGCGAAGACGGTATGTCATTCTAGGTATAAGACATAATATTATATACATATCTATAATCTATGGTACTAAACCAAAATTTGACCTATAATAGGTACCTATAATAAATTCCAAATTAATCATATCACAATATCCATTAGGTACTTATAACACGTTATACATCAACAAAATCCGTGATACTATCATAGATATATAATAGTACACTTTAGAAGTTTGAAGTACTCACGAATAACATTATTCAATCACAACAAAATAACTAAAATAGTTATTCTAGGTTTTTTAATATGTAATTTCGTCCAAATTTTAATTTAAAATGTCTGTAAAAAATAACTGTGTTAATATATTTTTTAGATTTTTTGGTTACAGTATGAACTATTTATGAGAACCTTTGTTTTAAATTTGCAATCCTTAGCTATAAACACTTTTTGGCCAAACAGATAAAACTTTATTAATATTTATAGAAAAAAAAACTAAAAAAATTGAAAACTGAAAATGTCCGTAAATAGCTCAAAAAGAGTCAAAATATTTTCAAACTTGTATGGTGTATAGAAAATGCTAATATAAACATTCAGTGAAATTTTCATGTATCTACAGTCATTCGTTTTTGAATTACAACAAAATAAGGAAATCGCTACATGAGAAATCGAGTGAATATCCAATGTTGTAAAAATTTGAATTTCAAACGCTCATAAAAATTTAATTTGACTTTCTTATAGAATTTTTTTTGATAAATGTAGGAAATCTTATAAGGAATCTTGTATTACATTTTCATATCTTAGATAAAATTTATAAATTCCTAACTCGAAATAATTTGCAAATTTTCGTGATTTTTCCATATTTTGTCATTTTTTTAACTTTAAATGCTTAAAAAAAAAAACTGTGACTAACGATTTTTAATATTTTTCATCTGTCTTTGAAACAATATAGTAGGAGCCTTGTATTAAATTTTCAAGTATTTTTACTCAACAAATACATTTTTATTGATATTCATAAAAAAAAAAACTAATAAAATGGGAAACTGAAAATGTCCCTAAACAGTTCAAAATAAATCAAAATATTTTTAAAATGTTATCGTGTATAGAAAATGCAAATATAAACAACCACTGAAAATTTCATGTATCTACGGTCGTTTTTTTAAAGTTACACCAAAAACCAAAATCGATTTTCTCGAAAACAGATTTTTCGTAAAAAATCCCGTTTTTCCTTAATTTTTCTTTTGTTTTCCGGCGCTTTGAAAACTACTGGGAAATTTAAATTTTGACCTCCCCAATGCACCAACGATATTCACTTTCCAATCGAACAAGATACTGAAGTTGAAAATCGAAGCATTAATTCGACTACTTATCGTGTACACAGACACAAAAAAAATAAAAAAAACACACATCATTGTAAAATCAATACATTCATCGTTCCACTCAGAATCTAAAAAGGTTTCATTATTTTTAACAGTCAATTATTTTATAACATTTTCAAAATGTTTAAACACTCAATACGTACCAATAATAAAATCGACTTTATTTTTTCAAATGGTAACCACTATATTTTTTATGGATTATGGTAAAGATTATTTTCTGAACATCTTGACAGTCGAATGATAAATTTTGGTTCGCTAAGTTATTAACTATGGTCCTCTAAAGTTTAGTATAATATGCATTAATACTTTTAACTGAAATACCTAATTTATAGGAGCTAATAATTTTTTCTTATAACTACCTTTTTAAATACTTAAATAGTTAAATCGGTAATCTAAAATGCTCAAAAAAAAAAAAAATTTTGGCAACCATAGTGCGTTATTTATAATAATTTTTCATGCTATACAATTGAGATCAATTTTATTTTATAATTATTAATAATAATTTATCTACCTACTTAAATTAATTTTTTTTTTTCAAAACTGTATTGGACGCGTTAAGAATATTTATTTTTTGGGGATAGAGATGAGCCACCAGTTTTAATCAATGGGCCCCGGGACCGTGCCCCCCTTGCCTCCCTTAAACCGGGCTTGCAGGCGTACAGCGTCCTAAGCTGCCCTTTGGCTACTAAAGTACATACACTATAGCGTACAATGTACATACATACTCTATTGGAGGGGGGATCTGTCAGAGTGACCACCCTCCACATAATTTACAACAGTAGGTACAGATGTACAGTAGCTGCTACTGTGCAGCAAAGCGGTTACCTATATTAGACCGCTTTTTAATTCAATTTTTTATTTGAAATGTTTTTATATTTTTTATTTCATCAAATATATTATACACTTATTATTATACACTACTATTTGTATATCTTCTTGTATTTTTTATTTGGAAATTTTACATTTTATGCAAATCTGATAGTTTCTACAGAGTAACTATAATATATTGCTCGTATTCCTTGCAAAACAGCGATGCAGCAAAAACAACTAAGTTCATACGCTATTCAACCTGCATAGGTAGTTAATGATTTTGAAATTCGGAAACACGGATTCTTATCAGTGCTATAATATATATAATGTACTATTAATATAATGGATATACATGTAAAGCATAGCCAAGGGAGGAGGGGGTAAATGGGGAAGTGCCATGGATAGCAAAAGTTGTAACATTTTAAAGGGCGGCAAATGTTTAAATAATAATTATGTATATGTTTAATAGGGGTGCCAATTATTGTTGGGGTGGAAATAAAAGTTAGCACGGGACTGCCTAGCCTATAGACGGTCAGGTGTCCTAAATATTATTGCTTTTGACTTAAATAGTATTTTTCGTTGCAGCATGGTACGTGCCCGGTCTGTCGCAGACAATTCTGTCCCGGAGAGCTCCATCTTCCGCCGGAACGAGTCAGCCTGTTTCGGTCCATCGCACGGCGAGTGTACCGCATAATTCTCTCACCGTTGGTATATTTCTTTCCCAGTCTCCGTTATACTCTAGCTAGGCACGGTAGACGTCGTCCGACTCCCATGTACAGACTCATACGCGCGGAGCGAGTGACATCGCCGCAAGAATCCGAAGAAAGCGAAGAAAACGAATTCAGAGAAATGATGGAAGACTACATCTTTTGCCACGTCATGTTCGTCTTGCAGAACGTGCACAACCAACGGCAACCCGGCTCGCCCAATACCATAGCCACGAACATACGCAGGCGCTTTAGCCGCTTGCACCGTGAAGACAACGTCAATCCTGCTGCAGGCGAAAACCCACCACCCGAACGAACGGAATTTCACTTTCCTCCTGATGTCCTCTCGTCGGATTACCTAGGTCATTACTAGCCCCCCCCAAAAAAACCATAGTTAGTACTCGCTGATCAGTGGCAGAACTTAGAGAAGTAGTGATATAGTTAAATAATCCTTAGTCGATAACGTTGTATTTATTATGACGTGTATAGTGCGCGGTCACGCGATAGCAATATCATATAGTACAATATGTATATAATACATATATATATATGACTATATGAGGTTAGTGATGATCAAAAATCATCTTTAGTATAATATATTATTATAACACTCAATAAAAAGTAATTACCATATTTCTTCCTCGGTTTTTAGGACAACTGCAAGTTTCAACGACTACCGACCGGTCGATTTAATCTATGACATAAAAAAAGACAATATCCATTAGATTAATTTACATTTATATCTACATATATACGAAGATATTATATAGGGCTATTCATGAATAATTATTACACGGGCTTAAATCATATTCACAAATTCTCAATTCATGTATTTTGTCAAATACTAACGAGTATTTTAATAAACTAAGTATTAACGTTATATTTAAATATTTTTATTTTTATTTTTCAAAAATTACCTACTTACAATAATTATTATTATCATTAGGGCCTGGATGTTGAATCTCTAGGACACCTATACAAATGCCCTCAAATAATGCATTTACAAAAAAAACACACAAAAAATTCACTATAAAATTGTATATGATAATAACCCAAACACTTAAAATGCTAATAACGCTGTTGAAATTTATACAATTACATATTGGTTATAAAATGTACAAACAAACGTCATATTGATTCAAATTTACAGATATTAAAAATAATAAAGTTGTAAAAAATATAAAAATATAATAATGAAAAATAGGATATTAACTTGCACCTAATTGTTTTCTCAAATATTTAAAAAGTAAAAAATGTCCCAATACAAAAATAAATTAAAACGAAAACGAAAAAAAGCAAAAAATTAAAATTAGTTACCTACGTTTCTAGTATTTGTTATACTCAGGTCTCATATGTTATCGAAACAGATTTTCAGCTAGGAAAGCATCGTATTTATTATGTTGTTCCAAAAAATGTGCAATAGTCATCAACCCATGCCCTAATCATCATACACATTACACATATTACCATATTAGTTTGCCTACTAAATATATTCATTAAAATGTAATATTATTATTATGCCATTCAATATTATAATCCTGAGGAAATGGCATTATTAATATTTATTTTAACATTTATGCATTTAATACTAAGTAAAATAATATTATATTCTACCAAGTTTAATTATATTGTATGCTAAGTGTATTAATCAAATACTGAAATACTATGATAATTACCTTAAATAAATACTTTTATATCAACAAAAGAGAAACATTTTCTGAAATCAAAATCTGTTAAAGGAGAAAATATTGTAACTATTGTCTATTATTATAATATATTATATCAATATATCATATCTATTATACCCATAGTTTTTTTCATTTCAACTAATAGAAATCAGTTCAGCTATATTATTATAATAATATTGAGACAACATATAAATAGCGGCAGTAGGTCTACAATATAGGTACATGCAATAAGTGCATTGTATAATTATATATTTAGTAAATACTGTCAAATAAAATAAAAAGTAAAAACCAATCAATTATTCTTGAATATAGAAAATCAAAGAAGCGACTGCAATTTGCGAATTTTTCAAGACATCATTTTAATTATTGGTTCTTGGCATAAATAGCTTACAATTAGTTTAAATATTTTTATAATCGTGTTGTGTAATGAAAATAATTATTCACTTAATGTCAAAAAGTTTTGACTTATTTCGAAAAACACTTACACACAACCCATCAGGACTGATGAGCTGTATAATAGTCATCGTTATATTTTAATTATGTTCTAATAACTATCAGCGATATAGTGGGAAAATAATATTGAAATTTAAAACCAAGTTGCCTATAAAATATTATGATATTTATATTACTGTTTATATCTTAAAACGTATGATATGTCTAAACTTATCATATTAATATTATGTGGATAAGTGGCGGATAGTTTTTAAGGAGTTCAGAATAGGCAATTTTCAAATTGCATACATGCGGGTCTTGTAAATGTGTGCGTTGTAAATAATCATTAATATGTGTGACTGTGTGTAACGCGCATGCACCAGTCACCACTTCGGCGTTGAGCGAGTGAACGGTAAACAATTTATGATCTTTTGTATGTACAGTGGCGGATACGAGGGGGGGGAGAAGGGGCATTCACCCCCCTCGGACTGTCTTCTTAACTTTATTTTCTATTGTAATATTTGGCTAAACAAAAAGAAAATTTAATTTTATTTAATTAGCTCTCCACCCCTTGTTTGACTTCTGGACCCACTACTGTGTATGCACTTATTGTCTATCCCGCCGATCGACCAAATAATGCTATAATATTTCAAAAAACTGTTTTGAGTTTGTTATTAATGTGGACTGGACAATGTCAAGTAGACATTGTTAATAAAATTAAATATACTATCTATTAGCAAAACATGTACCTACACAAATTACAAGGTTACATACTTACATAGCCATTAGCTACACTCTCGATTTTAACAAAATCACAAAAATATTTAACACAGTAATATAATGTAAATACTTAAAATTTTAATTCTATATTTAATTCTAAATATTTACAATATTCGTAAGATAAATTACATAGCCTACATTTGTCTAAACAATTAATCAAAGTATAGTTTTACTAAATATGTATTGTAAAGTGCAAAATCTGCAATGTACATTTTAAACTAATTAGATATTAAAATAAATTAAGTATCAGCATAATAAAATTTTGAACTATGGCCATACACCGTAATAATTACATATTATTATAATTTAAGAACATTTTATATGAATGGTACATCTCCTATGAACGAATTATGGACTTTGATCATTTACTTGATGTCCGTAATAATTTAGAAAATAAACAAAACTTAATATTATGTACATAATAAAAAAAGTTAGTCAAATAGTAAAAATGCAGTTAACTCACATACACTATTTGCACCTAATATAATAATATTACCTATGACCTGATACAGTGATACAAAAATATCATCAATTTAATTTAAATTTTTAATATTTGATCTTTATTACAAACAGATGAGGAACTTGCTTTGTATTAACTTCATCATAACTTTTAGCTTGTTAGTGATATTTTAATTTTTCTGTAATTATATGTCGGTTTTAAAATGGTATTATTTTACAGATTTATAAGTTTCATAAGAAATTGTATATCATGAAAAAGGCCTACTTAAAGTTTTGTAATAGATAAATTCAATAAAAAAACTAACAACACGGATCGGTTCATCTGAACGTAAATCTGATATGTTTCACATTGGTCAGACTCCGTACAATAATTAATAAGTAAGTAATACAAAGTTTAAAAATATCATATTAAGTATATTTAAATTGTAAGTTAATTTAAAACATTTATCAGGTAAAAGAACACTATGTAAACAAGGACGTTTTTTATGAGGTGGGACAACAGTGACAAAAATAAAAACTGAAGTTTTGCTTTCTTCATTAAAATCCAGTTCATACGTAAATGAGATAAATAAAAAAATTAAAAATATTGAAACACGTACATTTTAATTTCGTTGCTTGAAACAAATGTAATAAACTAATAACAATAACGTAAACATGTGAAAATTGGTCATATTCAAAATTAATATATTAGGTTTAGATAAGAGTGTGCCATTTTCAGTTGGCTAGGATATTTTCAAGTTATGATTACGACATTACGTAACAAATATATTATTCTGATACGTCGGAAAAATCCGGTTGATCAAAAATATTAAATAACTGTGATAAGACAGTTGAAAAGTATTTCCATAATGAGCCACCAAAATAGTATTCCCGGAGAGTAAATAGGGTGAGAACGTTATATTCATTTTTGGCATGTAAATAATAGCTTCCTTTTTTGATATTATTATTATAATCAAGGTTGCATTTTCCACAAATGAATGCTACATATTTAAAAATCTAATTTCCAATGAATTACAAAAGATTTTAAATCTTAACATTAGCTATTATTTATAAATATTATTATGCATATTTTGATACCGTAGTTTTATCATTATTGAATTAGGTATAACCAGATAGGTACTTAAATTATTTTATTAAATGTCTATTTGTTAATTAATTTGGTAGAGTTTTTTTGTTCCAAATGTGATATTGTCTTCTCTTGTCTCGTATAAGAGTATTTATTTTTTTTTTTCTGAAATTGAGTTATTATTAAGTCCATTGTCTAATCTGTATATTTTATTAGACTCACCACTTTAGTTGGAATAATGGAATCACAATTCCATATATATTTAGGTAAATTTTATATTTGGTATATGATGTACTTAACATTCCCATAGACCAGTGCAAAAACCCAATATTTAGAGAGGAAAAAATAGTTATTTTATGTAAATTTAGGCTAATGGGGAAGATAGCAGGAATATAATTATTATGTAAATAAGATGCGTCCAATCTGATTTGATCATTTATTGTAAATAATAAGTAGAAATAGTAAAACAATTAAACAGTATTATATAACACTAAGTAAAATAACTAGGTATAGTACTAATTCTGGTAAAAATTTTGTATACAGGATAAAAAAAAAAATAAAAAAAATAAACACTATTGTAAAACCAACTTCCTCGCTCCGATCAGAATCTAAAATGTTCATATTATTATAAACATTAAATTATAATTATGCAATTATAGTGTATAAACTTAGTTATTATGTACAGACTCAGGACTCGGGAGAGTTTACAACATGTACCTACCCATCAGGTAGTACTGGAGTAGAATTGGGAGAGTTTACATCGGGAAAGTTAACAAGTCATTACAATCGCCCATTTTTATCACTTGATAAAAAAATAATCGAATAATCAAGTTCAACTAAAAAAAACCAAAGTGGCTGAGAAAGTTTTTCATCTAATAGTCTAATTATACATTTACAGTGTTGTTTGATTTGTGATTTGTATAAGCTAATATAAAACTATAAAATAGA